TTCTGGCTTAATGACTTGTAATGTCAACAGACAAAAGGAAGATTATCTATCCATACCAATCTTAGATCCTTAGAGATTGAGCTAGGAGTTTGCTGCTACATAGGTTATCAGAGAGGATCAAAACCATCTATGCTCCATGGATCTCAGAGAGAGATTGTTGAACAGGCAGAGTTGAACATTAAGCCAGACTAAATACTTCATCGCCCACTTAGGAGCAGAGTCCCAGGTCTGATATAATCTGATATACACTGATATCCCAATGGATGAAGATGCGAGATACTCCCTTGTGCTGCAAACTTCAGTGTAGAACCATTACTCCATAAAAAGTATATTAGTGGTACCGGAAACTGGAAAAGATGCTCTGCTCATTCTGACATCCGAAAGAAAGGCTAGAGGTAGAAGGCTCAACCTTAGAAGATTCTTTCAGATATAAGGACCTACGGACTATGGAAATCAAATAGTCCACTTGAGCTGAGGTACCAAAATAGGCTGAAGATCCTCATATGAAGATGATACCATATCTCTGAATGTATCCATCACCAAGGACTCCTCAGAGTATTCATTCTGGAACTTGTCCAGAGGATCTGCGCTTTAACAGCTTCTATGATGTCTTGATATTGCATAATAAACGGCACTGGGGTAGGTGGGCCTGTAGCCACTTTCAGACAGTCTGTGCAGAGACTTTACTTTTACAAGGCTCTCTTATCATATGCCTCACAAAGGATCCTTTAGGGCGACTTCCCTTGTATGATCCGCATGATTTTCTTCCCATAGAGATTTCATCGTAGGGAATTCCAATTATTAATACGTAATCTTTTGTTTGGAACCACAGAAAAAAATTGTGCTTTTGGTGCTTAAAAGATGAAGCCAATACGACACTGCAACCGTACTAACATTACAGAATACACATGTGCAAATCGGATTTTCACGCATGCGCATAAACGGCATGGCGCGATCGTTCGATTCCAGCCTGTGCATTCGCAGGGATTTTAACACCACAAAACTGACCCTAGAGCAGAAAACAAAGCAGCGAAAAGCTATGCAATAAAATGAAAGGCCGGGATAGAAAAACAGAGCAGCGAATAGCTGAGAATGCCTATTACCAAGTACAGAGGCATAGAAATAAGTTAATAAAGCGGCAAATAGTTGTTAATGCCTAAAACCAAATATAGAGGCATAGAATATTGTAATAAAAGTGGCTGATAGCCGAGAATGCATGAGCAAAATCACAAGGTATAAAAATCAGTGAAGAAAGCGGAGAATAGCAGCACATGTATTTTACAAGTCACAGAGTGAATGATGTTTAACCAAGAAAACATCATATACAGATATTCTCTAATTACCCAGTTTAATAGTACTCATTTAATCTACCTCAAAGGGATGACCTGCTGAGAATTGAACATGCAAGCCCCAGGAGACGAACAGTTTGTGAGGATGCATTAGCCCACTGAGCTATCTCACCAGCCTTGACAACATAAGTGTCTATATAAAAGACAGAGAACTGGGATTAAGAGAATCCAATGACTTTATTAAAAGGCCCAACAGAGGCCTAGAGAAAAGTGAAACTAGTGGCTGTATTAAAAGCCATATAGGCCCAGGAATAAGAAAATCCAGCTGCAATATCAGGTGGCATAACAGAGGCCTAGGAATAAGTGGATCCAGTGGATAAATTAAAAGACATAGAAGCCTAGTAATAAAGGTAATTAAAAGGCATAACAGAGGCCTAGGAATAAAAAAATCCAGCTGCTATATTAAAAGCCATAGAGGCCTAGGAATAAGTGAACCCAGTGGCTATATTAAAAGACACAGAAGCCTAGTAATAAGAGAATATAGCGGCTGTATTAAAAGGCGTAACAGAAGCCTACACAGAAGCCTAGGAATAAGGATTTCAAAATGTATTTGCTTGAAATTAAAATTACCAGGAATCGCTTACCGTTCAGATAAAATTGATGAAGGGTAGAAGGGGTTATATCCATATATATGCTCTGAATGTGCATGCACAGCCTGTTACTCCTTGGTCACTGCAGGAAATAGGGTGATGGTATAATCTTGCTACCCCAAGGGTCACTAAATGGGTTTCTTCAGGAGGTCACCTTTGCGGAGGGCTGTGTACTGGAGACTTCCCAAGGGCATGATCTTGCTACCCCTCGGGTCACATCAAGTTAAAACCCCCGGTCACTAAAGGGGTTCTGGAGACTTCCCAATGGAGAGTTGCTGAACTCCCAAGGGGTCAGAAGAAAATATTATCCTCAGGTAAGCCATAAAAGAAATATATATATATATATATATACACACACAAACTTCCACAGATAGTAAACAGATTGTAGTACTTAGCAGCAGGTGTGCTTTTGTGTGTAGAGTTGGTGTTTGTGTATAATGTTAGCATTTTAAAACAGGGGTGTATTTTAACCCCTTAACACCGGAGGGCGTACTATTATGCCCTATTTTAAGCGGCTCTAAACGCTGCTGGGCGTAATAGTACGACCTCCGGGTTTTTTTTACTTACCCGGTCGCCGGCGATCCCACGCCGGCGAACGCGGTTGGTGGGACTCCCAGGGAGCCCCCCGCGGCACATCCGACCTCCTGCAGCCCCCTGGCCATGTGAGAGTGAGGTCCTTGCGAGGACCTCACAATCACATGGCAGGGTTAGCTGCCTGCTGCATTGCCAGCCGAGGGACTGCCTGTAATTATTATTATTATGATATTTATAGAGCGCTGTCAAATTCCGCAGCGCTTTACAATGGGTCGACGAACAGACATGTAGTTGTAACCAGACAAGTTGGACACACAGGAACAGAGGGGTTGAGGGCCCTGCTCAATGAGCTTACATGTAATGACAAGTAGTCCCCCTGCTGGCTGAATTCAAATAAAATTAAATTAAAATAAGTGTAAAAAATAAAAATTATATACTTAGATCATATGTATTAAGGCCTTTTGGCCTGTAATTGTGGGAGGGGCGTATGACTCACCTTCTCCCTACTTAAGGGACACCCCTTACCTGGCTCCATACCGTTCGAGGTCAGCGCTGCATCGAGAATCCACTTCCGGTTCACGTACGGCGCCATCTTGCTTTTCAAAAACCCGCGGTTTCGTTTGGTGTAGCTGTGTCCAGGAATCCTTACAGGTTTTCCGCCCGTTCAGCCACGCACATACCCGGTGTTTTCGTCGCAGATTAAGTCCACAGGACTTCAAAATCGTAAGTCCGTCGCCCGGATCATTTCCCACGGCGTCGCGATTTAAAACGGCCTTACTTTACGGCCACACGCTTTACGGCCAAGTCACAGGCATATTAACCCCTTTGCTGCCGGCAGGCATATCGGTTTCGGTTTTTCTTGTATTAAGCAACTTGTTCTGCATATCAGCAGCTATAGTTGGTTTCATGTTATTACTGTTATTTATTTTATGCAAATTATGAAATCCTTGCACATGACTGGGGCAATACCCCTGTCAACTACTTATAAATAAGTATTTATTTAGGTTATGGTTCAATCTGTTAGCAGATATGGCATTATTAAAGTTTTATTGAAATTCTTCATGTTATATACATATATTTATGGAGTTAAGTTTGGCAAGCTTTTACATTTTACAGATATCTCTTGTAGGATTTACGTTATAAATTATGTTTAGAAATTACGTTTCTATCATACCATGTACTCACGTTTCTTACATGGCACTTATATATTCTGACTTTTTCTTTGTGTACTCAAACGACATACCAAGTACACAAGAACACGGTCTCATAAAATCTCACAAACTTTCGGGTTGAATCACACGTCTTGATTCAACCACTCATACGTCACGTTGTTTCCTAATTTGGGATAATTTCTCAAATATTCCTGTACCTCGTACTTACCTCTTTTCATGGCTTACGTTTACGGCCTAACATATACGGTATTGTTTTAAATCCTGCACCTTATTATACTACAAACACTAGCATTACTATGCAAAATGTAAAATGTTGGTGAGAGCACTCAAAACATGCATGTAGGATATATTACCAAAGCTTGGTTTAGTTGGAATATCTACAAAACATAAAGCACAGAAACATAGTATAATACTGTTAAAATATATGCAAGTTATATTCTGTGACTGGTTAAACTCACATATTACTGAGTCACTTTAAAAGCTGACTCAGACTTAGGGCTTGTAACGGGATGAGAAATCTCAATTTGGACGTCCTGTATCAAACTTGATAGATCCGCGCTGGAAATGTTCTCCAAAATCACTCCAGAATGCAGAATCAAAATCCAAACTGATTTATTGTTAAAATACTACATAAAATAAAAATAGTAATGAATACAGGTAAAATGTCCTTTATATGTACCACGACGCGTTTCGGCACTCACAGCCTTTCTCAAGTGGTCTGTTTCTCATCTCCGATCTCTTCTTTTTATATTTTCAAATTCCGGGGCCTTTCTCTGGCGTCCCGTATGACTTCCGTTTTCGTCATTATTCGGCGACTTCCGGTTACGTTACGTGATGACGTTACGTCATCATTCTTTGCCCAAAACGGCTACGTCATAACGTCTTCCCGGCGCCGAAACCGGAAGTACTCTCGGCGCCATTTTAGAGAGTCTCTAATCATAGAGGTTGCCAGTCTCTTAGCAATCGCAACTTTTAACATTCACATACATTTAATATATTCGTCTATAAAGGAGGAGAGCCCAAATACACAAATATAATCAATAAGATTCATAAAATCATCATAAAAAAGGGGGAAGTACTGTACAGTACTTCCCCCTTTTTTATGATGATTTTATGACAAAAACTTTTAACATTCACATACATTTAATATATTCGTCTATAAAGGAGGAGAGCCCAAATACACAAATATAATCAATAAGATTCATAAAATCATCATAAAAAAGGGGGAAGTACTGTACAGTACTTCCCCCTTTTTTATGATGATTTTATGAATCTTATTGATTATATTTGTGTATTTGGGCTCTCCTCCTTTATAGACGAATATATTAAATGTATGTGAATGTTAAAAGTTTTTGTCATAAAATCATCATAAAAAAGGGGGAAGTACTGTACAGTACTTCCCCCTTTTTTATGATGATTTTATGAATCTTATTGATTATATTTGTGTATTTGGGCTCTCCTCCTTTATAGACGAATATATTAAATGTATGTGAATGTTAAAAGTTGCGATTGCTAAGAGACTGGCAACCTCTATGATTAGAGACTTTCTAAAATGGCGCCGAGAGTACTTCCGGTTTCGGCGCCGGGAAGACGTCATGACGTAGCCGTTTTGGGCAAAGAATGATGACGTAACGTCATCACGTAACGTAACCGGAAGTCGCCGAATAATGACGAAAACGGAAGTCATACGGGACGCCAGAGAAAGGGCGCTGGAATTTGAAAATATAAAAAGAAGAGATCGGAGATGAGAAACAGACCACTTGAGAAAGGCTGCGAGTGCCGAAACGCGTCGTGGTACATATAAAGGACATTTTACCTGTATTCATTACTATTTTTATTTTATGTAGTATTTTAACAATAAATCAGTTTGGATTTTGATTCTGCATTCTGGAGTGATTTTGGAGAACATTTCCAGCGCGGATCTATCAAGTTTGATACAGGACGTCCAAATTGAGATTTCTCATCCCGTTACAAGCCCTAAGTCTGAGTCAGCTTTTAAAGTGACTCAGTAATATGTGAGTTTAACCAGTCACAGAATATAACTTGCATATATTTTAACAGTATTATACTATGTTTCTGTGCTTTATGTTTTGTAGATATTCCAACTAAACCAAGCTTTGGTAATATATCCTACATGCATGTTTTGAGTGCTCTCACCAACATTTTACATTTTGCACTTTATTTATATTTGGTGTGTTGGAGTGGTTCACACTAGGTGATAGTAGCACCTATAATATACTTTGTTCCTTATAATTCTTTTATAAACTAGCATTACTATATCATACACATTAATCTTGTCACCATAAGAGACATATCATACACACCCCCAAGCATGATTACCATACCACATACAGGGCCAGTCGGGCCAATATCATTCATGTATTCCCCTTCCATATGTACTACTAGAACTCATCACAACTAACTAGTCTAAATTGGTATCATAGGATCCAATTCTCACACTATCATATTTGGGTTTTTCTATCCCTTTAGGTTTTTCCAGTTTTCTCTACCTATCGCTTATCAAACGCATACATACTACCAGGTACGTTAAGCCTGCTCACGCCATACATCACATATGGCTCCTCCTCTACTTAGGACATAGAGTACTGGCAATTTTAGGGGTTATAGGCCCAAATAGGTATCCCCCCTCCCGGCATTCTGCCTATCGTTTAGTGGTCCGCGAGGCCAACACCCCGCCTCAACGTTTCGGAGGTAATGCCCCCCGGGCCACACGTGAGTTAGCCGCCTCGCATAATAGAGAGGGTGCCACCTGTCACTCCCTTCCCCTGTTTTCTTGTATTGTCACCGAGAGGCCTACGATTTCCTGCCACTACGTCGGGTGGCCTCAATAACCCCTCGCGCCAATGCATAGATAGAGCCTCTCATAGCCACTTGGCAACTAGCAGGGCCTCACCTGTCACCAAAAAACAAGTTTAATTTTTCGCCTCATCCGGCATAATTAGCCTGCCAGTACATCCCCTCGGGGGTTTTTTACGCTAACCATATACTTTGTAATCTAGCATGTCTCAAGAAGGGGTAGAGGATTTCTCCATCCCAAGGACTCCGGCTAGAACAAACACCCCATCACAGGAGGAAGATACGGCTAGTCCAGCATCTTTCAGATCATGGACTATCCCTCGTATCACTAGCGAACTCAGGAGACGACAAATCCCTTTTCCAGCAACAGCAAGGAAAGCGGAACTTTACAGATTATTACACACCTCAACCGATAACACGGACGCTGGGGAAGGGTCGAGCCAGTCCCACCCAGGAAACATACATGACATGCTCACGTCCCTCATGACATCCATGAGCAAGGTCAATTCTAGGCTGGAGAAACTTGAATCGGTCACTACAGCCCTCACTATGGCTGGACCGGCCACGGCAATTCCCCCATCAGTGGTGGAGTCGAAATCAGTTTCTCCAGCTATCACCTCGGATGACCAAGAAGTTTACCCTGCCCACATGATTCCTGAGCACCTCAGGAGAGATATCCTGGAAGGTAAAGATGTCAATCTGGCCTCACTACTAATTGCCTCCCAGGATATAGTGGAACATAAGACCTACGCTTATGACGATATTTCTGTGGTGGTCAAATCCAGGGATGCACGATTAAATAGGAAGCTAACCATTCCAGAATTTGTATTAGCTTTTGGCATTTATCGGGATGTGGTCTGTACGGTATATCCCCACAGACGTGAGGAGTTTGACTTATATATGCACAGGCTGGTTGATCTGGGCAACAAATATGGTGGGTCAGCTTCCTATGACTACCATAGATCCTTTTCTGCCAAAGTGTCTGGCGCCTTCTCACAGTACGGGACAAGGTCCAACTGGAGTAAGATTGATACGATCATTTTTGCAGGCACTTTGCAGGTCTAAGAGCACCGGCCTGTGCACACTGCTCCTCCATGGCTCATACTGCCAATTTTTGTCCGACCACTGCGAACGAACCTACCACCTCGCAGGGCACTAGCTCCGCTGTGTCAGCAGAGAGAACACCCAAAGACAAACTGGGTCGACCTATCAAGTTTTGGGGAAGTCCCAAATATGTAATAATTTCAATGTCGGTGCATGTAATTACAGCGGTTGTCGGTTATTGCATATATGTTCAAAATGTTTTAGGGCACATGCGAAAACCATGTGTCCAAATAAAATGTACCCTAAGCAATACTTAACTGAGATAAATATTTCTGTACTCACGGCATTACTGTCACGACATCCATCTAGACATTTGGTAGACTTCATCATCACTGGTCTATCACAAGGATTCCATACTGGTCTCATACACATGCCTTCAGGAATCCTTGAATGTCCTAATTTACAATCTGCACAACAAAACCCTACAGCGGTTAGCACACTCATAGCCAAAGAAGTGGCAGAGGGCTTCCTATTGGGACCCTTTCAGTCCCCTCCTTTTTCCACATGGCGGACAAACCCCATCGGTATTGTCACAGGGAAATCTTCCCACAAACAAAGACTTATCATCGATCTGTCTGCACCTCACACCTCTGCCTCACCTAGTCTGAACTCCCTTATCCCCTCTGAGGAATTTTCACTTCAATACTCCACCATAGATCACGCCATTACAGCTATCATGCAGGCAGGGGTCGGAGCATGGCTCAGCAAGACTGACATTACAAATGCCTTCAAATTATTGCCTATCCACACTACACTATGGCACCTGCATGGCATTAAGTGGGCCGGGCACTACTACTTTTTCTCACGCCTAACGTTTGGTTCAAAAAGTAGTCCGGGCATTTTTGACGTATTCGCCGAAACATTATGCTGGTTATTATTAAATGTAGCCAGATGCCCTACAGTTATACACTACCTGGATGATTTCTTACTGATCGAAGAGAACACTTCCCCTCCCAGTAGCTTCATAGAAACCATCAGTCTTTTTAAACAGGTGGGTGTTCCAGTCTCCCCCACCAAAACTGAAGGACCAGATACAGTCATCACCTTTCTGGGAATCATGCTAGACTCAGCCACCATGCAAGCCAGCCTGCCACGCACCAAGATAGAGAACATCCTCACCAACATTAACCTCTACATACACCTCGGTACTTGCAATCGCAAAGAATTGCAGTCTCTACTTGGGTCACTGAACTTTGCCATGCGCATTATACCTCAAGGCCGGGCTTTCATCTCACGGCTCCTAACCATGTTCCCACTGTTTAGACATGATGCACACAGTTTACCACTGGATACCCAAGCCACGGCAGACCTACTTATGTGGAGAAACTTTTTGACCACCTGGAATGGGAAAAGCATGTTTCTCCCTAAATTGTCTGACTCCTCACCTACCATCTGGTCAGACGCGGGGTCTACCACAGGTTTTGCAGCAATTTACGGGAATGAATGGCTTTGGGGTAGCTGGCCTCCAGAGGTACAGGACCTGGAAGGGTTTTCCACTACCTCAGCTCTATTTGAGATGTATCCCATTGTGGCAGCTGCCGTGACATGGGGGCATCTATGGGCAGGTTCGTCAGTACGTTGCCACTCAGACAACCAAGCTACCTGCTACATCATAAACAAAGGCCGATCCAAGTCACTGACCATTATGAGGTTCTTGAGGAAACTCACCTGGCTGGCTGCATGCCATAATTTCTTCTTGTTTTGTGTCCATGTCCCAGGTGTTTGTAACTCGGCTGCTGACAATTTGTCTCGTTTCAATTTTCAGGCTTTTCGGCAAATACTTCCGTCAGCCGCACGTACAGCCACGACCACTCCACCCTTCCACCAGCTAGTCATGGACTAGAAGCTATTATGCAACAT